GGGAAACAAAGAACTTGTATTTCTCACTAATGCACATGTATCTTGACCAATTACTATTAATAAGTTTGAAAGGGCTGAAGTGCTTAGATTCTTCATTTGCATATATACTCTTACTGGGGCCATCATAACAACAATGACCAAGCACTCTACATTCTTCAGCTCATCAAGCCCTAAGGTTGGTACTGTTACAGCTCAATTTTACAGATGAGGAAAGGAAGGCTCAAAGATGGAGGTATTTCCAAACTCACAACTGCTAAAACATAGAGCAAAGACATAGTCCTGGTTATCGGACTTCTAAAGCCAGTTATGCTTAACCACTATGTTACAGAGATGCCATTTCCTTACATTTATGTTTAAAAATACCCCTTGTGAAATATAACTTTATAGCAATGATTTAGATCTGCATAATACTTTATAGTAGATACAGAACATCTACACCTCCCATGGCCACCTCTTGAGTGGCAGGCTACAATATCAATATGTGTATAAAGCATATTCCTCTTGGCCATTTCCTGGAGAATCCAGAAAGTGCGACATCTCAGAATTTCCAAAGACCCTCTTCAATTGTTTCCACTTCACCCAAGGAGGGGAACAGAGAAAGATGTATGATTTAAGATAAGGGCATAATAAATGAGTAACATTCTTTATGTGTTTGTATTTTCTTAAAGCAATTCTACACCCCTTAGCTGATTTAAAACCACTCTGTGAGGAAGAGGGCAAGACAGGTTTATTCCTGGTTCAGGGATGAGGAGACTGAGGCTCAGGGGAGCTAAATGAGTCCCTGAATGAACGGGAACCCTGGCAGGACAGGGCCCAGCTCTTCACCCACGTGGGGCACCTGAGTAATATCTAAGGAGCCCAGGGATCCTCCCTTTTGGAAGCTCAGCCATCACCACCCCAGGAGTGGTCAGTGGCAAGTGGGTCCTGAAGTGGAGAAGCAAGCACGTCACCAGTCTTCCCACTGCCCATAAACCCTGTTCCACCCCTGGGAATCCAGCACTGACTGTCCAGGGATAAGGGGCTGAAATGCCAATGTGCTCTCTTGTGCCTGAGTACTAAGGAAAACCTCAAAAGAGACAGACTCTAAATGAACAGTTTTAAAAGTAAAAAATCATCAAAGTTCTAAAAAATCCAGCATGAGAAGATGAGACACACATAATTTGTCTGGACTGAAGACTTAAAGGAGATACCCTTTCCACTCTCTTGGTCATAACTGGATTGTCTCAAAGACAACTTCATCTTTACGGGCAACACTAGTTACAGACACCCTCAGCTCCTCCCACAGAGCACTATCATTAAGACGGGGGAGAAAAAGACAGGGAGCTTTTCTATGCTCATACTTGGCTACCCAGGGCACACAGTTCACAAACTTGATACTCACCTTGAGGAAAAAAAGTTCTGTTAGAAAACCAAAGATTTTTCCTGAGCATCAGTTTTACAATGCCTTAAAAATATATAATACCGAACCAGCTGTGTAGATTAAAGTCAGTACAAGAATACAATAGGATGGCATGGCCACATGGAAAAGGAAGGTACCAAAGAGCATAAACAAATGCTTTAAAAATGGTTAACAGACTGAGACACACAGCATCATCTAACATTTCTTCATTAGAAGACAACAGCGTGCATGGTCATAACTGGAGTGTCTGAGATGAGAGTCTTTTAATTCAGTTCTTTTGGAATTACATTCGTGTTGGTCTGATAGTCCCTTAGGGGCTAAACAGCACAAATTATCTTCCTTTTGACATTTAAGTCCTGGTTTTGTAACACCTCTACTGTTCCCTTAAAAAACTGTGAAGGAAGGATCTGAAGATGAAAATAAAAATTTTTAATTTGCCTGACTGACAAAAAATACAAACAAAAAAGCCAAAGGTGCGTGGTTGGGTAGAAAACTACAGGGAATTGTCAGAAGCAGAAACATGCCAGCACCTTATCCAGTTTCCCCTGCTAGAACCTGCTCCTCTTTGGAGGTGCATCTCACAGAGGCCCCAGGTCTGTACTTGCCGCACTGTGCTGCTTACACCCGTCTCACTGCTAGCCAACAAAGGCTGGAGAACCAGGCCTCTGCCCGTGTCTCAGCCATCTTGGCGCCTCTGGCCTCTGGCCCAGAGCCCTGCCTCAACAGAAACTCAGGAAATGCTGGCCAAATCAGCCAACAAGGCTGAGAGCCTCTGCTTCACTGACACGGTTCTGACTTCACCCAAGGCGCCTGTCAGCATTTCCTATCGAAGTTCCTACCTTTCTTTGCAGGGAGTAGAGCAGTGTGTAGCCCCCGGAAGTCTGGGCACAGTGTGGACCGACAGTTAAAACTGCTGGGAAGTCTTGTGTTCCCCATTTTAAATTTATGTATCATTTGCATTCTACTTAATAGGTTTTTTGCTGTAAAAATAATAATGTTTTTGAAAACTTTATTTTTTCCTCAAGATACATTTCAGAAAACTGGGTGCTCCATGAGGATGTGTGCTTTTTTTTAAACCACCTAGCTGTGGGTGCCTAAGGGACTGCATGTTGAACTCCCATTATTATAGTGGGGAGCCACTCTCGTCTTTTCTGGTGTGTGTGTGTGTGTTTTTAAAAGCATCTCATGATTTGGCTCTGACCTCCCCCTCATTATGCTGGGGCAATGGTTCTTGCCCAGGGAAGCTAAAAGATAAGGCATGTCACCAGCCATGTTAAAATTAGTGGTTTCCATGGCCTCTGTCAGTTTAGTTGGGTTTAGGAGACATGGGGCGCCAAGGAATTCACAACAGAACTGCTGTTAACCTTGTATGGGCAGCTCCTATGGCAAAGCTTCTCCGGGGATAAATGCCACTCTCACTGTCCCAACTCTAACCTCAGGCCACAGAGGCTCATTAGGAGGAAGGTCTTTTAAGGTTTGCAGTGAGAGAACATGACCTGCAGAAGGAAGCTTGGGCAGGGGAGGGGGAACGCTGTTGCCGCCTCCCGCCCTGCTGCCAACACCAGCCCAGTCCCAGCCCCGACTCCTCATGTTGGATGGAGGTGGGAAGGAGTGCTGGTTCCTGAGCCGTTCCTAAATAGTGGGCCCACCCGACAGTGTGCAGCCTTTGTGTGGAACTGACCAGACTCAATCACGGGGATTCACAATGCATATCCCTGGAAACGGGAGGGCAGGTTTGATGGAAGGTGAAGAAAGGAAGCCAAGACAGGTACCTCAGTTCTACTTTCTGCTCTGTAAAAGGCAGTGCTTCAAAAATAAAAGGAAATGCTACTGAGGTCTCTTCACTAACTCGACATATATGAAGACATCACTTCCCAGAGATATAGCCTCAGGAAGAGCAGAGAGAGCCAGTGAGCAGTAGATAAACTGGAATCAAGTCTGCTGACATTATTTCCCAAGGGAGCCTGTGCTTGGCGCAGAGACAAAGGCCAGGCGAGCGTCGTGGATGCCCCCAGGCGCTCCCCAGCACCACTACACCACCACAGCTGTGTGCTGAAACTGCCTCTCAGCCCAGACAGCCCCCCGCTGACTCCTTTCTCTGGGGTGGGTGCTCCCCTTTCTCGGGTGCCTCGGGCATGGTGAGACGCAGAGCTGCCCAAAGGGGCTCCAGATGGCATCTCCAACCACCTGCGACACAAGGCGCCCAAGGTATCTGCTGGACCCTCTGCCTGGGCAGTCAGTCTGGGAACTAGGTGGTAAGCAAAATGCATTTCCACAAGGGTGAGTGAAGGCAAGGACTAGGATAAGGCCATAAGCATGCATGTTCAAAAGCTGATCAGCATTCTGCACTAAAGGTTCTACAAGGTATGATTTAGTAAGGTCTGAAATAGAGGGACAATTCTCACAATGATAGCAGTAGAAAACCAAGCTAATAAAAGATCCTAATCTGAGGAAGTAAGGCTCTGAAACTTTTCAGTATGTATGTGGTAATCTAGGTTTATTTTTCCTTCGCAACAAAATCTGAAACACTGGGAAGTATTTATAATGTCCTGAGCATGACAAAGGGGCCAGGTTATGTACTAATGGAAAGAGACCACCCCCACCCCACCCCCGGAGATAAAGGCCCCTTCCTGGGGGAGACCAAGACTGGCGAGCCTTTTACTTACTTGTGATCCACCTCTACGCATTCCATACTAGTGCTTCTGGGAAACATTTTCATTAACAGTGTTGGGCAAACATCGGAAACACAGAAATCTCACAGACAAATACAGGCAGACAGAATCACAGTTCAATCCAAAAGCAACACACCAAGGGGACATCAGAGTCCAAAGGCATGCAGAAAGCCATCAGAGAGCAGCTGGGAGACACGCAGAGCTGCCCCACACGTGGCAGCAGGAGAATATGCAACATGGATCCAACTGCTTACCCACTAAGGACACCAAGAACCAGGTTAAGGACGAAAAATGAGCCAAGGATGATCAGACTAACAAAATACACCCATGGCCATTCCCATCCTATCGCATCATTTACCTGTAAAATGTAAGGAGATCAGTTATCAGTTATCCATTTACCAAAGAGCAGAGCCCCAGCTGCAGCTGCCAGACCACTCAGCGCCTTGGCTGAAGGCTTAGTGCTCCTAGGACAGGAACTGGGCTTAGGTCCTTCCATTTGTTTTCTCTTCAAACAAGGGCAGATGCTGTTGTTCAAATCTACAAATAGAGCCTGCTAAAATTTGGCCCAGATCGGGTCATTTGGCTATCGTTTTGTACCAATGAACATGCATTAAATTTGGATTCAGACCACGGAAACAATTATAAATGTATCTCATTTTAGGACAGACAAAAGGGCAAGCAGTGAAAACTATTTAAATCCCAAGCAACAATGCTGATTAATTTCGGGTCAATAATCATTCTATAGCTTTCTTTCACGAAGGCTGGTGAGGTTCCAGGAAACTGGTTTGGGAAACCTCAGCAGAAAAGAAAGCATCTCAAAGCAGACATAAAGCACTTGGCACTCACTCCACAGCCCCCTTTAGCAAAGCCTGTGTGGTCTTGGCAACTGTCCTCAGGACTCTGCTTTCAAGATGAAAGAGTATGCTTACCCGCTCAATACACCAAGTACAAGATTTAGTACGAAAAATGACCCAAAGATGACGAGACTGACAAAATACACCCAGGGCAATTCAAATCCCATAGCATCATTCATCTGCAAGAAATAAGATGGTCTCATAGGAGTGGGCTAATAGGAGAATCTAATAAGGAGAGAGGGTCACATTAGAGAAAGCATTCTACAGATGTCATTAACATTTACACAGACTGAAATCAGACAACAGCAGCCAATGTGTATTCACTGCATATTCCCAGCACACATATGTGCCTGGGTGCACACTCACATACACTCACACTCACACACACATACACACTTGGAGCTATTGAGGCTTTCAGATCAATTAATGGCAGATCATGGCCCCAGGTAGGGAGATCAGCTGGAATTTTGCTCTTCTCACAGGGAACTGCCTTGATAGGTAATTTTCAGAAAAGGTTTTGGTAGAGGATAAAACTAGTGCTTAGCTGGAATCTATTTTCTGCTCTGCCTAAGTTGTAGTACTAACTCTGCTTTAAAAATTTGTCATGGTGGAAAAGTCTTAATTATAAAGACAAACTTGTAACATTTGACTCTATATACTCTCTTTTTAATCTCCTAAAATAATAACCTTCTACTGGAAACCAATCTGTCCAAGAAAACCTAACCCATTTTAAGTCTGGATTCTCTGCAATCAGTGAGTAATGCGCAACTAAATGAACACAAAGAAGAAAACATTTCCTAGATCAACTAGCTGACACATACATATTTAGGGGTGTTTTGGGGAAAGAGATTTCTTGTTCCCATGCCTACAAAAGGACCCTGGCTTTGACCTGGCCAAGCCCTCCTCTGAGACACGAGCTCAAGCTGTGAGCTGACTGAGAGTAGAGGTCAGAGAGGGCTCAGCCAGAAGAACCCTGTGGTCCTACTTCTGGACAGGCTCAGGCTGCACATTCAGACATGGCCTCCGTGTCAGCCCCTCCTCGGGGAGATTTTGTAGTTAGCAGCCTTTATGGCGGGACAAACAGGTGCTTTAAGAGTCACAGCTGGATGGAACTTTCCAGTAGCATAGGTCAGCATTACATTGGGCAAACACCTCTCTGAGGAAGGAGGTGTGTTAAGGATCAAAGAGCACACAGAACAGATGACCCCATGCCTGACCCTGCTAGGATATCCAGAATTCTCAGCCAATAAATAATCTGAGCACATCCTTCACTCTTCCCTTACAGGTGCAAGCCCTTCGGGTTTTAAGTGTGTGCCTTCCTGCACATTATCTGGCTCCAGTTTTTAGCTTTACAGAACAGGCTTCATGCATTTCACAATATTTGCCTCATTCAGAAGCCAAATAGGAAAAGAGAACATTAAAAAAAATTACCTAACATCTGTTGTTGAAGTCTACAGAGAGGGCATTAAATCCCTTATGAAACACCTGTTTGGCCACATGAAAATTGATGTGCCTAATAGAACTCATATCAGTCTGCACATCTTACATCGGCAATTAGAGTAATGAATGAGCCAGGGCCGTGGTTGCAATTGTTGATCTAATTAAGTTGGATAAACTGATTTCAGCAGGAAGGCAGAAGGTAATTCTTCCAAAGCAACTATACCACTAAACTTATTTTAAAACCCATGTGTAGAGAACAAACAGGCTGCCTGGTGTAGCCGGCAGAGCTCAGATTCAGGTCAACACCTGCAACACAGACCTCTCGGGGCCTGTTTGCCTCCACGTTGGAGGGAAGGTGCATGTAGCAGGGGAGAATGTGTCATCAAGAAGAGGGGAGGATGTACAAGCGGGGCTCCCATTATGAAACCTCACTCTTCCACAACTCTGGCAGTCAGGGAACTGGGCCATCTGCTTCACCAATCCTTTTCAGAATTCAGCCTGGTTTTCCAGAACATGACTCTACGGTAGTAACAGCTGTCTTCTGCACTTGGGAGGGAAATTTTTCTTTAAAGAAATTTAACTTCTTGGGAGTAGGTACTCAGCAGATTTTCATTTGTTCAAGTAAGAAGTATCACCTGGAATGACAGCTGAGGGAAAGCTGGAGCTAAATAAAAGCCATGGAGGGACTCTAAATTTCTCTGCCAGAAGGCAGCTAAGAGACAAAACTTAAGCTCTAAGGGCCTGTCTTTGTCCCGACTAAGCCTCCTCACACAAGCCCCCTTTCAGATCCAAGGATCTCTCAGGCTTACCTTATACATAGGGAAAAATCAGAACTGCCAAGCTGTTCCCAAAAATACACACATGAAGATAGAAAACCTGCTTGGGATTTGTCTAAACGGTCTTTATCAACAATGGAGAAATCCGCTGAAGATCTTCAATTTAGGTTAATTTTTTAAATATTTTATATCAAAGTTGTCATGGGTGTCACCTACTACCCAAGAAATTATTTTCTATTTAGTTTCACTTCACTCTCACTTTCAAGGCTGAAATGCATATTTACATCTCAATTTTAAAGCCCTTATGGCTTTTTGGCTTTTTCTTTTGAAAAAGAAAACCACTGGAAGACTTGGTACCCTGCTTGCAGCTCCCCAGAGCATGGCACCTGAGAAAGGCAAACCCTTGGCTGATGACCTAGAGAGGAACTTCCCAGGTGCCTTGAATGGAGACTGTCCCTGACTTTGCATACTTCCCGGTAGGGACACCCGGCACCTCCTCAGGTGTGTGCACCACTGAGGAAAGAGCTTGGTGCTCAGGCAAGGGGCCACAAATAACTTGGATAAATAGCTTTTTCCTAACTAACACTTTTAATCTTCTACATTTAAAAACATTTCTTTTGAACCATGTGAAGGAAAAACACACACAAAGGAAAAATATACATTGTGTTTGCTAATTCTGCATCTTGTAGACAAGGAAATGAAAGCCAAGAGATGTTCTGTGACCTGCCCAGGGGCACACAGCTAGCCTTATCCAGCTTTAACACTCTGTTCCTTCACTTCACCCTACTGTCTATGGGCAACAAATACGTGTGAGCCAAAGGACTTTACTTAGGTTTATGGACTTCCCTCTATAAAACAGCTCTACAATAATTCTTTTCCATGAGAAGGTAAAGATCCCATTCCCCACACATCAAAATAGTTCTGCTTTACATACGCCTTTGTGCATAGGGGACCCACTTTCCTTCTCAAGGTCCTGCCAGCCATTTGCCGGGCACTCTTGAGAATTAGGGCATAAATGAGCTTGAGAACACTGACTGAATATAAACTTGGCTAGATTCAAAACAATCCCCCAGAAAGAATTTGTCCACCATATGTAAACACCTAAAGGACTAAGAAATGTGCTGGCAATCAATATTTAAAACTGGATTGCCTTAGCACGCTGGGAGGCTAATTAGAGCCCAGCCTGGGCAACTCACTGAGACTCTGGTTCAAAATTTAAATTAAAAAAAAAAAAAAGGAATAGGGATGTAGCTCAGTGAAAAGCCCTAAGTCCAATCCCAGTACCAATCGATCAAGCAGTAAATAGGATTTCCTTTATCTCCCAAGATTTTCCTTTATGCTGTAGTTGTGGATAAAAATTGATATTCAGACATGGCCCATCTACACTAATGAAACAATGGGCTTGGTACACTTGAAGGATGGCAACAGTTCCTTGTATTTGTTGAGCTCCTGCTTTGTGCCGTGCTCCGTGCTGGACAGGGATGTTCCGTTCTGGGACACAGCTGTGTGGCATCCAGCTGACTGTGGGCCATAAATATTAGAAAGGCTTGATTTCTTGGCTCCTTCCTATTTATATAATGAGTTAATAAATGTAATCAACCAGTAATTAAAAGTAATTCTGGTACATTTCAGAGAGTGAGATCTTAGAGAAGACTCCAGAGGACATTGCTTAGCTGCCCTCTAGTGTTCTAGAAGAATTTGCAAACAGCTGACAAGTGGAAGAATGCCAAAGAGTGAGCCCTGGGTTCCACTTTAGACCAAACTGTGATCCACTGGCCAAATCTGGCTTTCCACCTGCTTTTATATAGCTTTCAAGCTAAAGACAGCTTTTACACTCTTAAACGGTTGGGGGAAAAAGACTTCCTGACATATGAAATTCAAATGTAAGGGACCCTAAATGAATTCTGGTTGGAACAGAGCAACACTCGTTCATGTATGTATGTGTATGGCTGAGTGGAACACCTGTGTCAGGGACCACATGACCTGTGAAGCCAAGTTCAGTTACTATTTGGCTTCTTACTAAAAGGTTTGCAGATCCCTGCTCAGAGGGAGGATCACATCACTCGCTGGAGGGCCCGGGAGACATCCAGTGCTCTCTCTGCAACCCACTGCTTGCATCTTTAAGACCCCAGCTCCTCTATACAGAGATACAGACTGGAGTAGTGTTTATGAATTATTGGAGCTGCTTTATTGGAATAAAGATCCTATGTAATTCATAGAGAATGTAATTATATTGTCAAATTATTAACGAGGTGACTGTCATACTAACAATGAAGATTATAATTATATCATCCTAGGTGATACTTAAAAGTTCTCAAGAAAGCCAGGTGAAACTTTGGTTTTGAGTGCATGGAGTTTTCTCTCTCTTTTAATCACACACTTCCAGAGTTTCCACTGCTTGACAACAGGACAACTGCTGTGAGAGAATCAATGTGCAGAAATATAACATAAAGTATAAAATTGCCTATTAGTCAAGGCATGTTGGATCAGCAGTTGACAATTTACCATGACAACAGAGAGAAAACAAAGCCGAGAAGAGTCGCAGGTTTTACTTTTTAAAAAATCAAACTATTATTTTCTGTATGATTTGCGGGGGGAAGGATGGGTTTGGGCTATCTGGGTGTTTGGTTTTTTTCTTTTTATTTATCAGAAACTTCAAGGGAAGCCTGGGGTTGAGGCCTCACTCTGACAGGAGTTGTGATACAGGAGGTAAGAGTAAAAATGCATGCTATGTAAAACTTCACCTAATCTGAGGGCCCTGTCCCTGGCTGTCTCAGCCCATCCAATATAATATCCCTGCTCTCCATGAGAAGGCATTGGGTTCTGAATGTAATTAACTAATATGCACACTCAAACAGACACATACATGCAAACAGTCCTTCAACAAGCATAAAAAGGAAGGCGAGAAGGAGCAACAAGATAAAACATATTGGTGATGCTTTAACCTTATCAAACTAGGCTAACACTTTGGGCACTAAAGATAAAAACATACCTTCTTTGCCTGACACTGAGCATGCAGTCATACCCTAGTATCTGCAGGGAGTTGGTTCCTAGAACCCCTCTCCTTGAATAGCAAAATCCACAGACACTCAAGTTCCTTATATAAATGACACAGTATTTGCATATGAGCTCCACTATCCTCTCGCATACTTTAAATCATCTCTTATTCTTTTAATTCCCAATACAATGTGAATGCTGTATAAATAGTACACTGTATTGTTTAGGGAATGATAAAAAAAAATAAGTCTGTACGTGTTCCGTACAGATGTGATTTTTCTACTCTGAATGCCGTAGGCTATGTGAAGACATGTGGAACTCACAGATGAGGACCCCTTTGATATGGAGGACCAACGGTATGGCAACTTCTAGTCTTGTGAGCATAGTGTTCACCCGAGAAGGGAAATGGAGTCTATGTTCAATCATTATATTATCTGAAGCTAACAGATTAATACAAAGTCCTGTGAAATTTAGAATTTAGAAACTATCAGAAGCTTTTTAATCTATGGCCTTCAACTAAAACCTGTAAATTCAAGAAGCACGTTACTACTGATTTCTTTTTAACAACTTATTATTGGAATCCTAGTTAACCCCATTTGGACTTCGATTTAGGTTCAAAACCTACATATCAGCTATTTTTTTCCATCGACTTTTGTACCACAGAAAATAATCTCTACACTTCTGTGAGCTTTCAAAATTTTCCCCAGGGAAATAAATGGCTGCTATACAACTACTGTGCGTTACTTATAGCAACTCTTCTGACCCCGACAGGAACAAAAGGACTCAGACTTTAGTAATCAGAAGTGTCCAATTGTTGGATTGGTTGAATAGCCGTGGCCGTTTGATATGCCTTTTCTACCTCCTCTGCCAGAGTTCTGGAGCTCCAAGGAGAAAGGAAGAAGGCTAAGGGCTTGTGCTGGGCTGATGTATAGTAATGTAAAACGATATAAAAGGAAAATATTATAATAGTGGAAAAGCTCATGTTGGCTAAGGTTGTACTGAGCTATAGAAAGCATGACAGGGACCCAAATTATGTCCCCCATCTCCCTTTAGGACCTAGTGGAATAACGTGTCTTTTTGTATAAAAGGTCAGTTTCAGCCTGTGGAAGTCCAGGGGCTTCTTCAACTTGGAAATGACCCTCTGGCTCTCAGAGTAAAATCAGGACAGCCCTGGTCTTCCTGGAGTTCCTCCAAGGAGGACTACAGGGCACAGCCAGTAACAATTCCCCAGGCAGCAGTGGGGAAGGGAGGACTAAAAGACTAGGAGCCAACAATATGCAGCAACCTTCTAAGCCTGAAACATACACTCTGAGGGAGGCAGGGGGTCATCAAGTGAAGACAGAGCCCATTTCTTTTCCCGAAGAACTAGCTGTCAGGGTTTCTTTTTGGCCAACTCTTCAATGGCTTTCAGTATGGAATAATCTTTATCCAAGGGAAGAACATGCCAAAAACTCTTTTCTCAAGCTGCTTACCCAGTACAGCACATCCGTCCAGCCCTCCATGGTGATACACTGAAACACAGTGAGCATGGCAAAGGCAAAGTTATCAAAGTTGGTGATGCCTCCGTTTGGGCCAACCCAGCCACTCCTACATTCTGTGCCATTGGCAGTACACTGGCGTCCATTCCCTGAGAACGCACATGGAGCTGGGTCCTCTTCAGCTACGATATCTGCGAACAGAAGAAGAGGCTGGGCCACTCGGGAGAGGAACAACAGGTCACCTAAGCTAGCTGAAGCCCACGGCCCTTGGTCCAAGCAGAAAACACCTCACCTCCCACCTATGCCATCTGAGAATCCAAGCTGCCATTCAAGGCCCACCTCGAACACTTCCTCCTGAGTGGAATCTGCCATTTCCTCCAGTCATACCCCATTGCTCTCTGCTCTGCACTCATTCTAACAGTGCCTTCCCCAAGCTCATATAACACAGTGTCATTGGTCTGCCTCATGAAGGGCCCCCATCTTGTTCACTAGGACGTGTTACATAGGAAATCAGGATGGACAAGGAGAGGTTACATTCTAATTTATTCTGCATACCACTCACACTAAGAACTATTTCAGTAAACTTGCTGGTATACAGGCATTTGGCATTTTTTTCTTCCTAGTTTTTTTTTTTGTTTTTTTTTTTTAAAGATTTTTCCTAAACTTTCTAGAAAAATTGTTCTTGAAAAGCTAAACAATTTTAAAGTTAGTTACCATGTTCATTACTCACCTGAGTCAGCAAAAAAACATGTTTTGTGCATTTTTCCAATAAAAAGTTCCAATCCTATAATAGCATAGATTATGATTACAAATAATACCAAAAGGGCTATGTGAAGGAGGGGAACCATGGCTTTTATAATGGAGTTCAGGACAACTTGTAAACCTAGGGAAGAGAAAAATAAGTCTGTGAGTCAGGAAGACACTTCAAATGAGAAATATATGACTCCGAATGTGCTAGCTCTATTTATGACATACAGTAGTAAGACTCAAAGAGATATTTCAAAGGAGTTGATATTAAACCTGATGTGAGATGAGCTAAAAAGAAACCTTAAATATCATCTAATCAAACTGGCTTACCAAAAAGAGAAACTAAACCCAGACAGAGGCTAAAGTCAAAGTCATCCATTGACTCATTTAAGTATTTTTTCTCATTAACCAAACCCCTTGACCATGTACAGTTGCACAACACAAGGATTAGGGCTCTGGGCAATATGAAGATGCATTACATAAAGTGCTTGTCTCAAAGAAGTTATATTCTAGAAGGAAACCAAGAATTTAACGCAAATATCTCTACCTTCAGGTAGCACACAGATGGTATATAAGTAAAACTGGTTACACTAAAGAGGGATGAAAACTGGGTGAGGAAAGATGATGCTACATCAGCTTCCCTCCTGGTAGGCAGGGCCAAAAGGCTGAGGGGATAGATGGGCTTCCACAGGTAGGGATGAAGAGTCCCCAGCATCAAGAGCACAGGAGCAAGAGAGCAGAATGTGAGTTTGGGATAACCTGTGATGGGTGTCATATAGTGAAAAAGAATATCAGGAAAAGGAAGCAGATTGCAGCCACATCATGCTGGGTTTTGAATTTGGGTTATAGAACCAGACTTTATAGGCTATCAGCAAAAGGCAGCTACTGTAGAAAAATGAACAGGATGGCCATAGGTAAGGCAAGCAAAGTAGCAGTTCAAGAGTGCTGAGGCTCCCCAGGCTGGTGAGAGTGAGGACCAGGACGAAGCCAGAACTCAACAACTGATGGGATTATTAAGAAGATGAGCACTCAAATTATCTGAGTGAGGGTAACAGGGCCAAATCCCAGTGCTTTGAACAAAAATGAGTGCTTCAAAGGGAGGTTCTTTCAGAATGAGGCCAGTGGACAGGGAGAGTTGAGAGGTTAGAGCAACTTCAAAGCTGTGGAATTTGAATGCCTGACAGAATGTTAAAGAGTAAGTACCCTACAACTACAGTGTGGGCTAGGGAGGCAAGAGAACTAACTAGTCAAAGCCAGGGTGCAGGAGGAGAGACCCTAACTGCACTCCTACCCCTGTGCTGCTTAGCATGGAAGAGGCAGGGCACAGGTCAGGGAGGATTAGGACCACTTCAGGCTCGGCAAGACTCGGTCTTTCTATGCTCCATTACAACTAAAATGCCAGCAGGGCTGCCTTTAAATGTTTAAATGGTTTCTTTTGGAGAAAAAAATGTACCAATAGGATAACTTTCAATATTATTTTGCTTCATAAAAGGAGTGAATGGAGAGGGAAAGGGTAAACAGTGACTTGAATCTATTTGGACAGGTTTATTTGTTTTTTGGTGGTTTTTTTGGAGATGAAGATGGGCTATCCAAAATCATCCAGCAATTAGCTCTTAAATTCTAGTGCAGTGATCCATATGCCTAATGAACATTTTTATGTTTAACGTAACTGCTGTAGTTCAGATTGGTCAAACTGATGAGATAATAAAGTTGTATCTTGCTGTGAACATGCATACTTACATCACAGTTGGCCCCTCTGGACATAACATGTACAGCAGATATCACAGAACTGTCATCGAGGAGGATGGAAAGGAAGGCAAAGAGCACACGGTGGGAATCAGGGGGCTTGGGCTGGTTCTGTGCAGCTGCCCACCAAAACTTGCAAAGTCACTGCCTTTCAAGAGGCCTCAGTTTGCTCATCTCAGAGAAGGTGCAGACAGACCAGGGGATCTTTAGGATTCTTTACCTTTGTGATGCTCTTTCTTGGACTCTGATAAACATTTACCAGCTAACTGAATATGGGTGGTCAAGAACTCCACTAATGTATGAATTACCTCATTTGGAAATAGAGTTGCCTTTCACTGAATGATAACTCCTCCCTACACACACGCACAAATTATGCCTTATAAAACAGTCCAAAATACCTTTAGAAGGGAGTAGACAATTCTTAGATAAGTATAAATAGTTAAATAGTCCTGGCAACTTTCCGTGACTTCTCGCAATGCAGAAGAAACCACCTGGCCACAACTGCCAACCGGCACTAGAAAGAGCATGGCCTAAAGCGCCGATTACTTCCCCCAAAATGCAAATGGGTTTTATGAAAGGACTGAGTTTCCCACCCAAACAGTTAAAATCTGGGCTTAAAAGTCGTCACACAAGACTCAGACCTCCATTTCTCCCTGCTGACCTGTGGGGGAATGAGATGTGGATTTCTACCAACTTCTCGGAGAAAGGAAGAAACACAGTTCAAACTGATTCTCCAGAGAATCTAGGAGCACTGCTGCAGTCATCACCTGAGCAGCCGACACGGTTCTACGCCAGTTCTGAAGTTTTCACTAGTAGGACACTCTCATGCAAGCAGGGGCCGCAGCCCTATAGGTATGCACACAGCACATACCACGAGCAGGCACGCCTATCGTTTGCTCTTTGGGGGAAAAGGCTGTTGTATTCCTTTGAAATTAGATTAAGCTATAATAACTAAATCCGAAAGAAGATCTTTGCTCACTGAACTTCTCATTTAATCATCTTTCACTCAACAAAGTCAGTCATTTCCAAGGTATTTCTATTTTTCTCAATTGCTTTCCAGACAGTTCTGTGGTTTTGACTTCTGCTGATCTTTTTCAATGAAAATAAATGAACCATCTGCAAAAACAAGTACACATGAAACGCCACTTCCTATATTTTAAAATGTTAAATTTGTAAGTAGGTTGTGTGAGTGTGTGTGTTTCCGGGAGGATCGTTGGTGTCTTTGGAGTGCCCACAAGTTTAATGAAATTTCATGAAGAACTTCTGGAAAGGCCAAAAAAAAATTGTGATCTTCTGATGGCTTTATGACTTATAGACAACAGGCACATCCTGCATTAGTCCTAGATCCTTGTTTCAGCTCTGAGTAGGCAACCACCTAGGAAAGATGTTAGGACTTCTGCCCTCTGACGTCCCCAACACAGGGCGTCCTATGTAGGAACAGAGCCTTCTTATGGAAGCATAAGAACCAAGTAGGAGACAGACACAGCATCTGTTCCAACTCGGGTGTCACTCAATCTAGCTGGAGGTCTGAGACAGAAACAAAGTAGGGCTGGCACTGACTGGTACCATAGGCCTAATGCGAAACAACTGAGAGACTCCTCTGTGTTCCACATACTGTGCTAAGGGTCTACCTTCATTCTTCCATTAGATTCTCACAATCACCTACAAGGCAGGTACTGCTGTGCCATGTATACACGAGTGAGGAAGCTGAAGCACTTATCCCTTCCCCTAGGGCTGGACAGGAAGCATGCCTAATAGTAGAGGAACTTCTCAACATTCCCAGAAGTCTAGGTGCCTGTTACTCCCCGCTCTGAAAACAGGCCACGAACTGAACCCTCCAACACTCTCCTGTGCATCATCTACCACTTTCAGAGTGGCAGGCCTGGAAGCAGGAAAACCACAACAGACTGGTGTCAGAGAAGAAAACTAGACTGGAATCAGGAAGCCCGAACCCAAGGTCTGCTGCCATCACCACCCACCTCTCTGCAAGAGAAAGTTCTTCTACTATCTCAGAGTGACAATAATCACCACCTGCCCCCTTTCGGTGCTGTCCTGGAGATCCGAAGTGACAGTGTAAGCCAAAGCACTCTGCCCACTGTGAAGGCCTGCACGGTCGGCTGCTGGGCCACTGACAGCTGCACAGCAACTCACCTCAGAGAACTCTGTTTCCTTATCCCAAGACCCACCCAGGAGAAAAAGATCAGCTCACTCCTGCCTCTAGGAAACAAAAAGTGCTTACTGGGCACTCCTGATACTAGTCGAAGTGGTCGTAACACTCGAAAGGCACGGAGGGCTTTGACATCAAAGCCTCCTGATTTGCCACTAGAGTGGTTCCCGCCTTCTGTTTCTTTGGTTAATTGTTCCAAAATTACACTAAACAATCTGAAAGAAAAAGAGAAAGAAATGTTAGAGTCTGCCACCCAGGGAAGCAAAACAGGATGATAGTAGTTATTTTTGAACAAGGGCTAATTCTGTAAGGCTGCAGTCTAAATAGAAAGAAGGCAAAGCAAAGGCAAGGACCCACTATGAGATCTGAGCCTGATCCCTCTGTCTAACATGATGTGAGATGTAAGACAGGCGCTAATCTCATCTATTTTCATGCCAATGAAGCAGCCAGGAGCAGGGTACTCCCCCCCAGGCAAGGACTCACCAGGACAGGGACACAGTGAGGATCAGTGGTGCTGCCCCCAACTGAGATGAGAACAATGACCTCAGTGGTTACCATTTCTGAGCAGCCACCATGTATGAACACTGAGCACTGAGGACTTCACATGTGTCACCTCTGCAATCCTCACAACAATGTTACGCACTGGGAATTACTGAGGCCCCCTTCCGCACATGGAAACAGGCTCCAGGGAACAAGTACTCTACTCAAAGTCACACAGTGGGGGCAGAACTAACATTTGAATCGAGGTCCTCTGGCCCCACTAGAATGTACTTTTGTAAGGGCAGGGAGTTTCATTTGTTTTGCCTGCTTTGTCTAGCTTAGTGCCTACAACAGTTCCTGACACATATGAAGTACTCAGAAATAGCTGATGAAGAAATCAATAAATGACCTCAACGTCCAACTTAATGTGCTGTACTCCATCTAGTGCTGTCACTCGCATGCACGCACACACCCACACATGCCTGCACCCTCAGAGATATTTGGGGAATGATGTAAATCACAGATGCGAAGGAACTGTGCAAAGGCTAAAAGCAGCTACCAAAGGGAAGGTATTAATATTGCCATTTTCTCCTTTGAAATGTGAATAATATTGTAACTGGCAGCCACGCTAAGTTTTTTTTCCTACTCTCAGAAGGTTTTTCAGATAAAGCTATTTTCAGGCAATCTGCTCATTTAACAGCTACTTTTGCTCTTTCAAATAAATATTTATTCTTCAGAATTGTTGCTCACTTTTTAGAATATAAATATAAAATTGCCTACTGCAAATAGCATCAACTCTGGCCAATCAGATTGTGGGAATGATTGGCCCAGCAACAAAGAAGAGGTTCCTAAAGGTTAATTAGCAGCCAAAGCAGAAATTCTGCCCTCACTGGCAGGCTGCTGGATCACTGAGACACTAAGTCCATGACATGCAGGGTGGTCTGATTGCAGTCCCGATTGGGCACAGCCCTGTCATTCTGGGGCATTTATAGACCAGCCCTTTGTTTTAATAACAGTACAGCAACTGGCAATGAATCCGCTGAGGAGAACAAGAAGCCAGGTCTCTTCTTTTCCACAGCTTCAGAGGCGGGCTCTTCCTAGCCAGGACTGGGGAAACAGATCAAATTTATGACAGATTTCCCATTAACATAGTTTAAAAAAATTATTGTAAACGCCTGCAGCAAGGCTAAAGTTAAAAGTCTCTTCGCCAAAACAAGTTCACAGCTTCACAAAAACAAAGCAAAGGGAAGAAGGAAAACCTCAAACTCTTCTGAAATATGGAAGCCACAGGAATTTTCATCCCAAAGGGTTAGGAAAGTAATTTATGCAGGTGGTGACTTAAGATCACTTTCAAGTATCAACATTTCACAATGTGCACTTCAGGGTACTTTCATCCCCTGCTCCTTAGCAATGTCCTTGAAAACAGGTGAATAATGTCTTTTTCTCTTGTGTTGCACAAGAGCCGGCATCAGAGAGAAAAGCTGGCTGCCAATCCCAGACAGTGGGCGGCTGTAATCACACCTAACAGGTCTGAGGCATGAAGAAAGCCCCTCTGGGCCCGTTTCCCTCTGTGAAATGGGCAAACTGGACTAAGGAACCCAGAGCCCCACCCTTCCTCTTCCCATATTCTGTGATTCAATTCCCTCGCCACCACCCTCGCCCAAAAAAGTACTGTGTGCCTGACAACATAAGGACAAGGAAGAAAGCAACATTTGGTCCTAGGTTATTAAAAGTTTACCCCAAGACAGGACAGGAAAGACAAGTAGCTGCCCAAGCTAACAAAAGTCAGAAGCCCTGCAAGGAAGAATCGGAGCTCTTCTTCACAAAACCTAAATGCTGAGGCTCAATGTCTAAATATTTGAAATGGTTCTTTCTTGAAAAAACAGGGTAGTAGGATAAAAGTTGACTCACATCACACTCTTCTTTAAAGGTAGTAACTTCAGCTCTGGTAGACCCAGAGAGTCCTCTCATGGTCACGTTATTAATAGTATTTTAGAAATGTCCATTACTTACTTAATGTCTCTGTTAGTGGGAATTTGCACCAAAGTAATAGGTCACTGTGAACTTGGAACAGAAAATCCACTGCATTGAGGTACAGACTACAGTTGGAAAACTTTAGTGAGCGGAAATTTGATTCAAATGAAGACATCATAATTTGTCTTTTTCTTTTATAAAACTTTTTTCCTGTTCTTTCTTTGATCATAATTTAGTGCATATTTTAGATAAAGAATAACGTTATGTTCTAAGTTTTTCATACTTAATGAGAAACAGAGACCAATAAGCACATTTTAGTTTCCTAAATGATTTTTACTCTTAAAATCTATTTTATTGCAGTTTAATTTACATGGACTAAAAGGTGCCCGTTTAATGTGTATAATAAGGTAAGTTTTGACAGATATACAAGTTTAAGTAACAACCACCACAATGGACACACAGGACATCTCCAGCTGCTCTCTTCAGTCCCTGTGCAGTCACCTTCTCTCGGAGCCCCACCTTCAGTATCCGCTGAGTGGCTATTTATCCATACAGCATTTCTTCCTCTTTTAGAACCTACATAAATAGAATATTGTAGTATGTTCTTTTTGCTTATCTTCTTTTGCTTGACATGTTTCTGAGGTTCATCCACGTTGATAAATTTATCAGTTTTTTTTTACTGTTGAGTAATATTCCATTATATAAATGTGCCAAATGTATTTATCCATTCATCTATTGTGAGATTATCTGGATTATTTCCAGTTTTTCCTCTATAAATAAACCTCTTCTGAGAACATGCATTTTCATTTACCTTGGATAAATACTTTAAAAAGAACTGGTAATATGGTCACATGGTAAGTTGTTTCAGCATTTTTAAGAAGTTGGAAATTTTTTCCAACGTTGTTCTATCACTTTCCATTTCTCGAAGTGGTATATGAGAGCTCCAATTGCTTCATATGTTAGTTAATATTTGCTATTTTTGGTCTTTTTACATTTAGTAATTCCAGCAGGCACACAATGCTGTCTTTGTGGTACTGATATTTCTCTAATCACTAACAATGTTCACTACCCCTTCACAGATTTGTTGACCATTAACATGTATGTTTTGCTGAAGATGTGTTCAAATCTTTTGTCCATTATGTACCAGGTTGCCTTCTTACTGATGAGTGGTAGGAGTTCTTTATATATGCTGAACACAAGTTCTTTGTTAGAAACATATACTTTGAATACTTTTTCCTCAATCTGTAAATCACTTGTCCATTTTCTTCAAACTGTCTTTTGAAGAAATGTTATAAATTTTGATAAAGTGCAATTTTTCAATTATTCTTTTTTTCAATTCTTTTATGGCTGATGCCTTTTATGCCTGAGAAATCTCTTCCTACTCTGAGGTCATAAAGATTTTCTCCTAGAAACAGAGTATGGTTCCTCTAGGGCAAGTATCAATGAAAACTTTCTATAAAGTGCCAGATAGTAAATATTTTAGGATTTTCAGCCTACAAGGTCTCAAGTTTGTTGTTAAACATTAAACAGCCATAGGCACAAGTAAGTGTGTTGGGGTTACAATATAACTTTATTTTCTGAAACAGATGGCAAATAAAATACTGTGCCAAAGGGCAATGGAATGGGGACAAGATTTGATTTATAGGCAGTTTGCCAATCCAACGTCTAGACTGTAAAATATACCTGTTATCACAATCTATCTTCAAATAATATTTTATCACTCTATCTACTGTAGAAGTATTTGACAACAGAACACAATTATTTCTCGGTCCCAATCCTTTGTGCTATTATTGTAATATATTTTACTTCTGTAGAAGGTATAAACCCCATAATATATTGCTATTTTTGCTTTAAACAATGACATTTAAAAATATTTTTAAATGAGAAAAATGTCATTATACCTATCCAAGTTATTTACCTTTTCTGGCATTCTTTTTTCCTTCTGTGTGGACCCACATTTCTGTCTGGTGTTATTTTCCTTCAGCCTGAAAAACTGCCTTTAAACTTTCTTGAGGAGGTCTATCCATCATGAATTCTCAGCTCTGATTTCTCAAAAAAAAATTTTTTTTTGCTTCAGTTTTGGAATGCATTTCACTGAATAAGAACTGGAGTAGACATTTCCCCCCTCTTCAGTATCTCCTGGCTTGCATAGCTGTTAAGAGGTCTGAGACAGCTTTTACTCTATTTTGAAATTTTCTCATTATTCCTGTGTTTTAGAAAATTGACTCTGTGATGTGCCTTGTCATGGTTTTCTTTTTTTTAGTTTTGGGGGGTTTTTTTGGAACCGGAGATCGAACTCGGGTCCTAGTGCTTTCGCAGCAGGCCGCGAAACCACTGAGCTAAATGCCCGGCCCGTGGTTTTCTTTATGTATATTTTACTCAGGAGTTTTTGAGCTTCTTTTATGAGCTTATATTTTCATCACATTTGGAAAATTTGGTGCCATTTCTTGAAATATATTCCTCCTGTCTCTTCAGCCTTCTCCTTCTGAGACACTCCAAACATGAAGGTTAGAAGACCGCTTGATAATTCCCCATAGGTCACACATATGGTGCTCAGTTTTTCCTTAATTACTATTCTTCACATTATTGCTGCATCTTCAAGTTCCCTAGTGTTTTTTCTTTGATCGTGTCTCATGTGGCATCAAGTCAATCCGGGAAATTTTTCTTTTCGGGTGTATTTTTCAGCTTTTGAAGTTCTACTGGCCCTTTGTTATCTTGTCCCATATTCTTCATAGTCATGTATTCCTTTAAGACTATAAACATATTTATAATAGCAGGTTTTAATCTAATATAAGGTCCTTCTCTGCCAATTCCAACATTTCTGCCATTTCTGACTCTGTTCCTGATAGAATTTCCTCCTGGTTATGGGTAAAATTTCTTCATGTGTCTACTATTATTTGACTGTATGCTGAACATTTAAAAAAATACTTTTACGTATCTAGGCATGTGGTGCACACCTGTCTTAAAATAAAAAACAAAAAGGGCTGAAGATGCAGCTCCATGCCAAGGCCCTGGATTCAATCCCTATTAGTGCCACAAAAAGAAAGTATTTCTATTTTGTCGTCTTCCTCTGAAGAATACTTTGTTTCTGTTAGTAAGTTGAGTTACTCATACATCAGTTTGCTCCATTTCAGACTTTTTTCAAAAATGTTAGCAAAAGATTTAGGTAGTCTTTACACTAGATCAGGGGCTGGCAAACATCTTCTGTAAAACGTCAGACACTAAATATTTCAGGCTTTGTGGACCTAAACTACTCAATTACATAACACTGAGTGAGGCTACATTACAATAAAACTTTATTCATAAAAACAGGTGGCAGGCTAAATAGACTAGAATTTGGCTCACCACATGAAGTTTCCCAACCCCTGCTCTGGAGCTAGGTTAGCCCCACTGATGACGGGCCTGCTAGAGTCTCCAGGACAGTCCAAGGTGTTCAGAGAGATCTTTTATTCTCGTTAGTCAGAACCTGAACACATCTCAGTCCTAGGTGAGCCCTGGAATTTATTTTATGCTCCCCACGCCCAGCTTTCTTCCTTTTTCTAACAGTGTTTTTTGCCTGGCTTCATAAAATTGTATCTTACGTAAATCTTCAGCCAAAATTCCAGAGGACCGCAAGGCACATTCAGGGAGTGCTCTCTCTATTTTCCTCTCTTCCCACACTCTGCTTCTCAAGTTTCCAGCACTGAGCCCCTCCTGAACTCCTGTCTCTGTCTCTTAAACTTGGGAAGCCCACCATGCTCACTTGGTTCCCTGTCTTCGTGCTGTGCTGTCATATGCAATATGTCTCCAGGCAGACAGCACGGAGACACAAGAAATGGAGCTAAGCATCTCCATTCTCTACCTGAACACAAAGTCCCATGGCAAGAGAGGTACAGGAAGACTGTCAGAAAACCAAGAGACCTGCCTTCCATTCCTCAACAGAGTGCACCAAATGAAGCAAGAAATCTCCCTTCCTGCCCGTCTGCCATCTGTTCATGTATATGCAGCATTTTTGCAATGATACCTCAGGTGTGAGAGTACTATGGTAGCTTTGGCAAAAGCTAACCTTCCCCCTCATCTGTCTGATTACCCCACTGGGCCACCACTTTGGATCTCATTTTAATTTCCTAGCTTGAAAAGACAGACCAGAAACTGATTCTACTCCCCAATAGCCAGCAGAATTATTATCAAATGAAAACTCAAAGGATTCATGATAAAATGATAATCCAAAAGAAAAATCACCTTGCTTAAGTGCCAAAAGCAGCTGATCAAAGTCATAGAAGCTATTTAAAAATCTCTCTCTATAGAAATAAACACAAGTTTAGGAGCAACCCATAGAACAGCTAGGGTAATTAAGATTCAGAAAAAGGATATACTTTATTTCCCCACGTGGATATTTGGTTCAAAGATTCATCATTCTTCTAATACCAATTCATTTTTTTCTGCTAGCAACATTTCCAGGTGTGGAAGAAGCAGGAAAATACAGGCCACTATTTTTTATTTCAACATTCTCTAACGAAAACTACTGGCATCTTCTTCCTGCAACAGGATTTTGAGAAAACACCTGCTTCTCTGCATTTCTAGCTTATTTCATTTTATGCCAGATATGTGACATCATTCAGACTCTTATTTTGTTATTTAAAGTGGAATAGTAGCATGCCAAAATTTCTCCTACAAGTCAGCAGAAAAAAAATAGCTTTGTTCCAAGGATGGTAAACAGCAGAAAACTTCACTGTTATAAAGGCTTTATTATTTTATTTAGCTTACTAGGGTGCTAAGTATTAAGATCTCTAGTCATCTGACCCTAACCATCAGCAAGGCTGGTCTATGTGTGGAGATTCAGGCCCTGGAAGGTAAACTATCTCATATTAGGAGCTTAGACTTCCTTCCACAACATATTATTAAAAACAAGAGTAATAAAGTAGTTTTTTTCCCCCAAGACTGGCAGCAGTATTGGCAGTCTTAAAAGAACTCCTGGTAGGTCTTGGTACAATAACTGGAATAAAAGAGAAAAATTCTTCCCTAAAAAGTCATTCCCCCCTCCAACCTCCACCTCCTGTTTTCCAGATAAACATCTCCCCAAAGTAAGAAGGATTTACTTACCCTACTATTACTATAACAAAATCCAGTAAATTCCATCCATTCCTAACATAAGCATTTGGATGTAGCAATAATCCATATGCTATAATCTTCAAAAATGTCTCGACTGTAAAAATAATCAGGAAGGCATATTCTACTTTTTCCTGTGAAGAGAAACAAAGAAACATAACAAAAAGAAAAAAGAAGAAGAAACAAAAGAAATGAACCAGTGATTAGAATCAACATCTCAGAGATACAAGCATGTTTTTCTCCAAAGTTTCATTATGAAAAATGAAACAATTACACTGCACCTGGGCCAGGAAAGCATTTTAATTTTAACACTGGATTTCTCATAAGCAGCTAAGTGTAAAACACTTTTCATTCCAGGCTGCATGATTGCATTTTTCCACCTGCCCTGGATGTATTTGCAATGAGTCTGCCCAGGACGTAACAGGCATGTTTGCTATTTGCACGTGTTTGCAGAATGCAGCATGTTTTCCTCCCAAGACTGCCAAATGAGGCCCAGAGAAGCACAAGGGTGCAAGCAAAGATTGCACCAGCAGCTTTGAACAGAATGTCCTCTGGAAGAAATGAAGATGTGCTTGTTTGGACCCTTATCCTTAATTCCTCTTGGGTTTACGTCTGACTTACAAGAGTCAGCTTTGTCTCTAAGTAGCAAAATGACCTTGGAAAAGTCCTTCCCCTCCTCTGCACATAAGTGTGCTCATCTACAGTGAATCCGGATGGCAAACACACTGCCTGATGACTGCCATGCCTCTCCTCCCTGGGCAACACTGCCCCCAGGCCACAGGAACTTGCTGAGGCTCAGCCTTCAAATCTTTCCCTTTGGTTAGTCTCAATAAGCATTCCCACCTGCTGGCCACACCCTCAGCCACTGGCCCAAGGGCAGGAAGACTCTTAAGAACCCACCCAGATCCAATCCACCTGACTCCCTGAGCAGAAAAACACCTGCATGGGCAGGTCTAAACATTGTGACTCTTTTCTCTTTTATAAATATTTCTTTATCTGGGCCTAGTTTCAGTAGAAATAAGAACCAACAGGAATATATGTAACCAAAAGGCATTTCCTGGTGAGAAGCTACTTAATAGCTAAACAAAAATCAACAATTAGAACTCTTCAATCTGGTCTACAGAGTAGTAATACGCTATAGTATTACAGAGGGGCCTTGTTCCTTACCAAACTAGAAGTCATGGGATTCACTTATTGATATAGCTAGTAGAAGAGATCAAAATAAATCTGGCTCAGGAACACACTCAGCAAGCACCTCTCCTGCACGACAGGCTCTGTACCAGCAGCGAGGATCAGCAAAACATCCCCAACCCTGGTCGTAGCTCTCAAAAGGTTTAGTCTTAGTGGACGTGAGGGTTTCAAACATATACAGAGAATGTCTGAAATCATGAGGGGCCGCTGACACAGCCCCTCCATCTCTGTCTCCTTCCCCACCATCTCCACAGAGCCGAGGTCTTATCCACTCCCCCTCCCCATTCCTTTTCACAGCCGATCGGGCTGAGGACTCTGCTGTGCTTTATATGACTACTACTGTAGACATATTTTTAAAAATGCAAATTTGTTGGTTTTTAAAAAGAACATTTAAGCTTCTGAAACTTTTTATTTTTAGAATCATCTTTTAAAATATTCGTTTCAGGAAGATTCTCACAAACTTGACTCCCTAAAAGTTTGCCACCAAATATATATATATATTTACACACACACACACACACACACACACACACACGCACGCGCGCGCACGTATGAGCACACTACCCCTGTGCTCTTTTATATTTAAATGAGAACTTTGCCCAGCCCGCCCTGGGCTCCAGGTGTCTGCTGCAGGCAAGCCACCCTCTGTCTCTGGCTGTTCCCTGCAGAACCTCCCCAGACTCTCCACCAGTACCCTCCCTGATGGCCACAGGTGGGGGGACCATCCAAGCATGGCTGTGCATTCCAGAAGTCACCCCCACTTTCAACTCCCTGCTGGTCATGTAAGAGCCAGCTTATCTGTTCTTCCTTCTCTGGGCCCAGAGTGATCCCGATTCCCGTTATTTCTAAACCTGCCCTCAGAGCCTCCTCTGATCCCCAGGACACCATCACAGCATCTAATAAATTTTAGTTTGGTTTGAGTTCTCCAGAGTCAGGGGATTTACAAAGTAAAAAGCCTAGCTCAGCCCCAACCTCTCCGCTCAGGCCCTCGCGAGACCCTCAAACAGGTCACATCCTTGGCAGGGCTGCTCCTGTCCCCCGCGTGCACTTTGCCATGCCTGGCCAGTACCCCACTCTCTTCACAGAACCTCATCGTCTGGGCTCGGGAGTCCGGGGAGACGCCCCCAGAGTGGCACCGGCAGACCTACAAGACTCCCTTTTGGGTGACCAGTGTCCCCAAGCCCAGGAGGCACGCCATACAATCCCACATTCACACTACAACAGGTATGCTGAGCAACAGGGCCCAATTTTCCTGCTGGGCGAAAGGGACAGATCCAGAAATGTTCCAATGAGGCAGGGACATTAACTCTGAAAACTTAAAGAAAAAAAGATTCTGTTATTTCAACCAGAGGCAAAAATCCCTGAAAATACCAACCTGTTGTGCTCAAATCAGACCCTGACCAACAAACGTACGTGGCCAATGTTTTTGAGACTTCCAGTTCTAAGGGAACAAGATAATCTAAAAAAGCCATACTAATTTTACAATTCCTCTTCCCATTTTATCCTTTCTGCTTTATTTACTAGGCCAGACAGGAAAAAAAGGCTTTTGCTGCCATCAATATTCATAGCAGTTACATCCCTACGTCAAGACACACTATACTTCAGAGCAGAAAAACAAGGCAGAGAACAAAGAGTACAACTACCAAACATAACTTGTTTTTCCTCTTTGGCTTTTATTTATAAGTAATTTTGCCACATCAACACAGGGGCCATTAGTATAACTGAATTGTTTAAAGTTCTTTTATACTTCTTCCTTCCCCTCCTCCCCCCTTAATTTTTAAAGACTTTGTCTCTTTCAAAACTCTTCATAGTGAATTTCTTGATGGAATTGATTATAAGAAATATAACCTTGCTTTCCTGTGATTCTTTATTACAGAGATTCCACCATGAGGCTAACTGAACAACACAGCAGACCAGTTTGCCCAGAAGCTAATGTCATCCTGGTCTTTGATCCTGACATTAAAAGGGACTCCTATGACTTGAGCATTCATCTCTACATTAAACAAATGTAATGCTTTAAAAAAATTTTTTGCAAAACAACAATCAGGCAAAGTGGGCTAATTATTTGTTTCATAAAAGCTCTGTTCATATGAAAAGAGAAAGTCAAGTTAATTTGAAAAGGAAGCCAGCACGATCATAAATTCTATAATTGAGCAAGGTAGCAATGTGCAGAGCAGCAAGGAATCAGGTGAGACATCCACAGAGAAGATGCTGAGGTCTGTGGCTGAGAGAGATAAGTGTGCAAAGGAAGAAGCAATGGTAAAGATGCAGGAAGACAGTGGCTGAGGAAGGGGCAAGAAAGCAGCCTCCACAGGAAATGAGGTCCTGTCTATATGAAACTGGGCACAGGCTGCACCTTAAAAGCCCTCTGCCCCAAGGCTGAACAGAATGATCCCCATAGCCCTCCATTGCTGGGCTGAGCCAGACCTGTGTTGCTCAGCCATTCATCTGTCCGGGTTTCTTTTCACAGGATGGAAGTTCCAAGTGGCAGGGCCAAATGCCCCTCAGAAAAACACCACCGGAGACCCCCTCTAATCTGGACCCTATGAGCCCTCAAGCCACCAGAGAAATAAAGGCTCAAATCTAATTCAGAAACCTCCTTCACTTCTTTAAGCTGTGGAATTTCACCCACAGGACTGTCTCTGAGCCAACAGCTCCTAAACCAGGTTACATTTCTAGACCAGTTAACCATATACGTAATGAGAAACAGGAGCTGTCAACTGGCAGTGGGTGGGAGACACCAGAATCCTTACTGCTACTTGTTCTATTTGTAGGGATCCTTTCACTAGCGTTGTAATAGCAACATTGATTTGTCCTCCCATCTACACATCCACCCATCCATCCCCAAGCACCTGGTCCTCCTCAGCAGTCTGATCCTAGTCTCAAGAGCTTCCAACCTGCTGTCAGAAGATCAACAGAGGATTGATGCAGCCAGGCGACGTTCACCTCTTTGCTCCTCTCATCCACCCAATGGCCACATATTCCTGGAAAGGCTTTCTCGGCTTATTCTCTGCAGCAGCCGCCCCCCGCCCCCAACTCTTCTGCACCCTGCCAGTGCCCTGCACTCCTGGGCTCCCCGTTGGCAGGAATCATCCCTTATAATCTTTGTAACTCTACCATCTAGCACCCACATCAAGCATAGATAAGGCAGTCATGGGTGCTACCGGAGGTAGAGAAGGAAAAAGGAGAAAGAATAAAGTAACAAAATTATATCTAAAGAAAACTATAAAATCTCAAGGTTTTCTGGTTTTAGCATGTATATCAAAAGCAAAAAGCAGGGTATATATCTTTCTAAGTTACTAGAAAGCCTTTATAAGTCGGGCCTGGAATAAATAGTCAAATTGCTGAGATAAAAGCTGATATCATCATACCTGGTTCCCCCATTCCATCCCAACCTGCAAGCCCAGAGTAAGGTCCTCAACTTTCAACACCTCCCTACCTTCCTCAACCACCTATCCCACTTCTCTTCTGGGAGAATCCTTTGCTCAACACCATAGGTCAACCTGCTGTTTTTCACATGTATCAGACCCTTTCTCTCCTCTATGCCTTTACCCAGCCTCCTTTACTACCTGATACACCTGCCCCCATACATGTTAACTTTCCCCTTCATACAGAGCAAGCACACAGCACCATGAGATGGGCCTAAAAACAAGCCCAGGACCACTGAGTAGAAAGAACACAGGATCTGTAGCCGTATTTGTTTTCTACTAGCCCTGGGTGAGCCACTAATTTGTGCTATATCCCTGGGCCACAGTGGAACCTTTCTACATCCTGTTCCCTCTTCCAGAATGTCTCCCCATTCTTTTTTCATCAGGCTAAGCTCTATTTTGTCCTTCAAGGCTTAGCTTAAGTGATACTTCCACAGCAAAGCCTTTATTACCCTCCCAGAAAAAACAGGAACCCATTGTCATATGCTGTAAAAGCCTGTTATATTCATAGCCCT